TAAAGCGCATTTAGCGCATCTAGGGTTAGTCTACCAATGGAATACAATAGATATTCAACAAATCTGCCAATCGGCATCACTTATAATCTTGTAAATTTGACACTCAAATGTCTTTTATTGCTGCTGGGAAAAGAATCTGCCGTACTCGTAGGCAATATCATAAAATTTGAAATAAATCGCGAGTAGGCAGCAGCAGCAGTGACTCATTTAGATCATGCAGTATACGGCGTTTTGTCAAGATTTTATCCCCTTGATGTCAGAGGGAACGCGTGTAGGAGTCGGCTGGGTCTGGTTCAAGTGTTAACTACAGCAAGCCATAAGCAGTCGTCAGCTTTAGATTAGTTGCTACGCACGTGTTTGCGTCCCACTCTGTCTCCTTATTGAGTGCTCCAAGTCACTGCAATGACAGGAATGGCACTGCAATGCTGCACGAGTGTCTGACTGTATGCCGTAGTGCATCGTACAGTAATTCTGGCAAAATAAGAGTAAGTACTAAGTACTTCTGGCTCTATAATTGTGATGCTCGTAGTGACTACGCCGTAGTCTCCTCCATTTGCATATGCGCAGTTGTGATTTCGGAATGGTTCTCTGTTAAAGATCGCACGTTATAAACTTTGCTTTCCTTATTAAATACACAATGAGTTTGTAAAGATGGTCTTTTTATGATATTCTGATATGATATGATATGATTTTAATATATATTTATGATATATTGTGGAAATTGCTCCCGCCAGACCATATCTTTGAAAATGTGTATTCTGTATTTGCTTGATTCCGTTATGGAATAATTTGTTTCTGCACATTATTTCCTCGTGATACTTCCAAAAGTGTCGTAGCACATAAATCTTAGCGGGTTAAGATGGTTCCTCCATCCTGACGCCAGAAAATACCAAATTTTAAGACTTATTCCTAATTAAGCAGTAAGTACGTACTACGTAGTACATACGAGTATTATATATCTACAAGTATCGGTCGCGCTAGCGCGCGACCAGTTGTGTTCGAGGTATGGAAGAATGAAAGAAATACAAAATGTACTTGGTAGTGACATCGTACAGCAATAAAAAAATTTTGAAAAATATTCCAAGTATAAAACCCCAGCGAGGCCAGCTACGAAATTATTTTAAACATGTGGAAATGCGGACAGTTTTCAAGCTTTCCGGTTACACGCGACCAGTTTCATAAAAACTGTGAAAGCTTCCGTAATTTTTCTTTTTGTTTGCTTTTTCACGGTTCTTTTTCACGTTTTTAATGTAACTTTATGTTGCCGAACTAAAGAACTGAAAACTTGAATTTTTTGGTACGACAGATAATGTTTAAACGGTAATGAAATGGATGGAGTGGGATCTTTTACACGACGCCCATAAAAAACCATTCAGCCGATATGTCAGCGCAGAATTAATGGAAAGTTGTGGGAAACAATTAACAGTTGCGGTTGCCCCAGGTGACCTCGCAGGCTGCATCGTTAGCTACTTACTAATAATTGTAAGATTTTCAGCCGTTCAGTCGAGCTATTCAGCATTAATCAAAATAAAATAAATACTGTACATATTAATTTTGTTAGATTTCAAGGTTAGTGAATACCCAAGCTACCGCCAGTATTATAGAGCAACGTACGTTAGTAAGTACCCAAGCTACCACCAGCTCGTATCACAGAGCCGCTACCGGAGGGAATACGGTAAACGGGCCACGGGCCGGCTTTTAGATATTTAGAAATTACATATAAATTAGACAATTTAGACCGTGAGCTAGATATTGAGGTACTCAGATTTCTAGATATTTTAAAATTTCGAAACTCTGGAGGCTCAAAAAATTAGAGGTAACGGCCCCCTGCGCGGGGCCGAGTCGAAATATTTAGAAATATTTAGAAATTCTGGAAATGTTAAAGCTTTGGAGCCGACTTTGGAAAAATTTATAGTTATTTTGAGGTATTCGAACAGATTTAGAAACATCTTAAAGGTTTCAAGAATTTTTTTAACAAATTATGTTCGATGGAATTGACAATTTTAAACAACTATAATTTAGGTTGCTAAGTTGCGAAACTTGTATATTTGCTCATTCGAGACGTTTCCAGAATTTACTGGAAATTTCTATGAACTTTAAACGCTAAGTACTGGAAGTTTGAAAGGTTTTTTGAAAACGTTCCGGAAACCAAAATTTTTTTTCCAAGCTGCAGGTAGGAAGCTTTGGAAGATGCTGGATTTTTTAAAACTATCAAAAGCCTCACACACGGAATCACGAATTAGGAGATATTTTCCAAAACTAACAACCCTTAAGTACTGAAAACCTTTAAGTACTAAAGCTTTAAAAATTTTTTTCAGACCTTCTCCTAAACTTAAGATTTTTTTAAAGATAAAGGTAGGAACGTTTTTGCGATGCTCTATTTTATAAAATTATCAACTTATTGAGCAAATCAATCTTGGTTTAGGAGATAATTTCCAAAAAATAAGGACGTAAGGATATATGAATCTATTGATATCTATATATCAATCCGAAAAGCGCAACTTCAGCTCTTCACTGCTTTAAAATGGTTCAAATAAGGACTGATGGCATATAAATCACATACAGAGTACGAGTAGTCAGTAAAAATAGTAGATTTTTAATGAACGCGATAATCATTATTCTTGTAATAATTTACTCAATACAGCAGCCAGGGATCCATTTGACATGATAATAAAATTAATATTATAGCAGTACTATAGCGATGTTGTACGTACCTTACAGCTTTACGTCACCTCTATTAAAGCAAAAATAATTTAATTCTAGTGGACTTCATAAAGGTAGTAACGCGTGTCCACCCGGGCCACCCGTACGCATGGCGCTATCGACTGTGAATGCTGTCACCTTTATGCAGTCTACTCCGACTCCACTGTAATGCCAGTCGTCATTTTCCCTACATCTAGCAGTACGATAGTGCAGTTTAGTGCTTGAGAATTAAGCTTATGAGAGTTCAAAGTGATCCAACCGATCAGACGCGGCGAACCGCATCGCGCGGTTGATTAGGACAATGGTTAACCCTCTAGTAATTCACATGTACATTCATTTTAATATAACGCTTGGCGTTAAAAATGTTTCAAAATTACATACACCGTAATTCCATACCCAATCATGGAAAGGCGTTTACTTCAAATGTGTACCAGGCAGCCATGTTAACAATTTCAGAAATACACAGTTTCTTAGGTAATTATGGATTCCTCGTGGGGAGCGATGCCGCGGTATCGGTCGCTGTTAGTGGATGGCAACCAGATCAGCTACCAGAACACAGTCGCCGTCCGCAACGCAGACGCAACGTGGTGGCTGGGATATATTCAGGACATGGACGGCGATCACGCTCTCATCCACTTCGATTCCAGAAAGGTCACAGCGCGGTGGATACACACGGGAAAAATCTGGCCGCTGCCGTTCTATTATGAGGATAATGTGCATTCAGGTTGCGACAACGTTCCGGCGTACGTTGCACTGCGTGATGAAGAGGAGGGCCCGTGGCGTTTCCGACCTACCATCTTGTTGAAAAGGCTCAGCGGATGTGGAACTTGTGAAATATTTCACATCAGACCCTATTCGTCCCACGTCAGTGTGCAGGCAGCCGCCGCTCCGGCTGAACTGGTGGAAAGGGGTCAAGTTGCCGCTCAGTTGCCGCCCAGCGGTCCGCCGTTACTGAAACGCCGCAGTGACTGGACCTTCAAGAAATACCCGTTGGTGGAGCGCCGCGGTGGCTTGACCTACACCAAACACTTTATGCCATTTGCCGGGGCGCAGGGTCTCCTGCGCGATGCCTCCGATAAATTCCGCGTCATCAAGCACTTTCGCGACGCTTTTGATCACCTACAGGAACCGTCTGTTCTGTGGGATGACTGCCGCTTTCATCTGCGCATCGAACGGGATGGCTGCATGTTCATTATTATAAACCCTGACCCCAGCGCGGAAACAGCGCAGTTGGCGGCGACATTGTGGGCGCAAGTGCTGGATACACATCTGGCCAACCGGGTTAATCTACCGCCTATCGGGTGCGGACGATTTCGTGCAAGCGAAACGATTCCCTGCAAAGCCGGTGAGTGGACATTGGTATTGTAATTAATTCCTCGTCGAGTTTTGTTTTGATGGTACACCTGCAACAGCAAGACAAATTGGACGGTATATTTTAGTAAAAAAATAGTTATTTAAAAACTTTGAACATTTCAGCATTTATTTATCTTTGTGCAGATCGGGACAGTGATTTTAGCGATACACCAGCACGCATCCGTCAGCTGACGCCTGGGCTCTTGAGCGAAGTTTTGGCCCATCTCGATCTGTTCTCACAAACGAGGACCAAACGGTAAAAACGGTTCACGCATGCTCTTCATTTGGTTTAGAGTGTCTGTTTCTGCTGATTCAAAGTGTACAGAGGGTTATTCAGCCAAGTGTGGACACTTTTTGGAAAATTTCTCCTTAGCCGTCGCAGGCTCATTTTACTCTTTTAAAAATTTTGTCAGGTAGCCATAACATCCAATCATACTTTAAAATCAATCGAGTCACGATTTCTTCATCCTGTAGCTCAGGAAAAAATTAAGTTTGTCCCCCCCATGTTGGCAACAGTTGACCAGTTCAGCTATAGGAAATGGATTCCCTTCATTCAAAATTTATCTAAAATTTGGATTTTCGCCATAACACGTTGAAAACCTGTCGGGGGTTTCGAACAATCCTTTTTCTGAAGGAATTACTAGTATTTCTTGATTGGGAAGCTGCATCCTTGTTTGCTCAGCAGTGCTCCCGGGAGCACGTCTCGGGTTCTGGATGACTTCTTCTTCCCTGCCAGGCTTGATCCGTGTAGCGTCTTTCTCGACCAATGAACATTGTAAACGGTAGAGAAAGACTTTTCGCGCAGTAGAGTTCGCGCAATGGGTATGGCTCCTGCGGGTCTCTTCCTGTTTTCGCGTTTTTTCCAACCGTCCTACCGCAAGAACGCGCAAGAATATGAAATCGTGTTTGCTATAAAAAATATTCGGATCGTCGTTTTTCACAACTAAAACCGCTCAGATTGGAAAAACTGACGATCCTTTTAAGGCCAGGTGATCGAAAGCCAAATTTTGACTGGTCAAGGGTTAGTAGTCGGAGTCTTTTGGTTAACAGACAATATCGCAAGCATTTTACGCTGGATTTTCACCAAAATTTGCAAAAAGCATTCAGATTAGTTAGTCGTTGTATTGAGATGCTTATGGCATCATTTCTCTTAAAATGAAATTTCTAAGGAATTTTTTTTTTCGAAGTGTCCACACTTGGCTGAATAACCCTCTGTACTTGTACCGGTACGAACGGTACGACACTAATAATTGTTCTCGTTATTCTTAGCTTCATAATCCTAGCAACTTTCTGTTTCCTTGATCCTTCTACCCACAATTCTTTACTTCTCAGTTCTACTTGGCTGCATACGAACAAAGGTCCCAATTCAAACGCACCCGGACATTTGGGAGTGTGACAATTCGCCGCAATTAAATTCGACGCACGACTTTTCGCCGCGAAGAAATTTTGCCGCGGGACATTTTGACGCTGGGACAGTTCGGTTAGGGACACTTAGCATTGAGACATTTTGACTTTGCGACATTTTGACGCAAGACGTCTGGTCGCGGACACTTCGCCGCAAATTTTGCGGCGAAGTGTCCGCGACCAGACGTTTTGCGCCGGGCGCAAAAGCATTCGACACGCTTAATTTTTGCAGGTTTTCCGGTTTTCTTGGGAGGGTTTCTTAGGTCTTTTGGGCTTCTTAAGTTGTTCTAAGGCTATTCTAGGTTAGTCTTGAGTTATTCTTAGGCTATTCTTAGGTTATTCTTAGGTTTCTTAGGTTATTCGTAGATTATTCTTAGGTTTCTTAGGTTAATCTTAGGTTTCTTAGGTCATTTTTAGGTTTTTTTAGGTTTTTTTTAGGTTATTCTTAGGTCATTCTTAGGTTTCTTAGGTTATTCTTAGGTTTCTTAGGGTTTTCTTAGGTTTCTTAAGGTTTTCTTATGGTTCTTAGCCTTCGTAATTTAAAAGTTTTCCTGCTAAATTGGACTTTTCGTCAAAACAGCCCCGCGGCGAAATGTCTCGGCGTCGAAACGGCCAGACGATTAAATGTCTCGCGGCGTAATGTCCTGCCGGTTAAATGTCCGGCGCCGAAGCGTCGCAGGGCGAAATGACCTTGCGGCGAAATGTCTGCGGCCAAAAGTCCTGCGACGAGTTGTCGGCGGCGAAATGTCGCGGTGCCCAATTCAAATACTAGGAAAATGCACCGATTGGTTCATTGGCAGACCCTAGCGCAGCTTTTGCTTTTTCCGGTGGCTTGGCAGCGCGCCTCAGTTTTGGCTTGTTACATACATTTTTGCCTTTTTTGTTTGCTTAAAAAATAAGGTGTAGAACAAAATGGATTGCGTTTTTGAATCGCTTTAAATAGCAGGCTGGCTTTTATAGTATTTTTGAAATTTCTGAAATACGACACATAAAATAGTAACTACGGTAAATGGACGGAAGCCAAACAGCCACAGCTTTTGGCACACAACAAAAGCTAGCCAGGCCAAATTTTTCAAACGCATACATGCAAAACGGTTTTTATATCACTGTAATATTACGCATTTTTATCAGCAAAATGTTATAAGCGATATTAGAAATAACTTTTTGCGCGGGAAAGTCCGACAAATCCAGGCACACAAAATGACTACCCTGAAACGGCAAATATCGTTCTGATAGAAAAACGTTCGATTTGTACGTGTTTGCTTACTATTGTTGCAACCGGCACCGAACGACGTAGCCGTCAAAAAGAGTTTTATGCATTTTATGGTGCATTTTGTGCGCGTAAATACGGTCGTGTTACATTTGGGCACACGCAATCATTTCGGTTAACCTTCACGTCGACTGATGCTCATTTCAGCTAGCTCTCATTTCAGGGACTGCTCATTTGTATGACAAATTTTCTTGGCTTATCTTTTCTGGTGTTTTCTGATGTTTGTACGCTTGTCTACGCTTTATTTTTGCATAAACTGTTTTCGAAAAAGCTTAGGTCTCCGCCGAAAACTTCAGTCGAAATCAGCACAGCCTAAATGTAAGCGGCCAAATAGTAATTGGTAAGCGTTGGGGTGCCGAATTAAATAGCACGTACGTACCGTAATTACCGAATTCGAGGCACTCCCTCGATAAGGTCACCCCCTTAAAGAGCACCTGCATTTCTGCACCAGGGCGTTCGACCTACTTGCCGCCCAGTGCCACAAGTTCGATGATTACGGCATTCGCTACACGCTAGTACACTGCGCTGATTTCCGCAAATTCTGATATGCGGACATTGCGCTAGCCGTGGACATTGTCAGTTTCTCAGCACGGATTCAAATAAGGCACGCGTGCGGTAGTCCATGGTAGAGCCCTGCACGAGCAGCAAAACTGCTGCTCGGCTCACTCGTTTCAACTTTTTGAAACTTTCTGCTCGCTCAGCTCGCTCGCGCCCAAACCACCGCTCGCTCGGCTCGCTCGTTTTAGAATTTCCTATTGCTTCCGCTCGCTCAACTCGCTCGTAATTTTAGTTTTGCAAATCGGCTCGCTCGTGAGATCGGCAAAAATTTTAAGTATCAATTTTTTTGCACGAATAAGTAATATCAAAATTTTCGCACTCACAAAATACAGTAATTGTAATACGGTGTTCAGAGACTCCATACTGGTAGTCCATTTCTTAACAATTTCATTTTTTTCGCTAATACCTTTCTATAATTTTCAACTGGATGTGCTTTTCTTGATTTATGTAGCCTGAAGTAATTAAAATAGAATGTTTGAAAATTGAAATGTATCTGTTTTTACGAATCAGGTAACTGTTTAATAAAACCCGTCAAATACTGCTTTTGTTGGCTACGGAATACTATCAAGTACTTAGTCTCGAGTGCCAACAGATCAAAGAAAATGTTAGTAGAGTTTCAATAGTTAGTAATTCATTAACTTAACTTATCTCATTTTTGGTTTATAAACAGTTTCCCTTCGCGCGAAGCGCGAAGGTGACGGTGGTTTATGACCGTTTTCTGGTCCGTCAATGTAATTTTGTACTGCAAAAACTCCTTCAGTTCGCACAACGTCAGCCTGTAGGCTCGCGTCATTCTTGAATGGCCACGACCAATGCGCCTGTCCCAATGTTCCTGTTTAGTACATGTTCCAGTGTGGTTAGTTTAGAAAGGCGTTGAGTGTTTCATATTAGTTTTAGTTACCCCGAGCTGCGGATTCAATAGTTTTTTTAGTTACGCCACAAGAGCTATTGTGAGTCAATGGGGCTCTGTTTTCTTCATTATTGTAGCCGCCTAACGAATACGCACTACAGTCAAGTCCCACCGATGCCTGCTTTCTTTTTTCCTTCGCTCACATTAAGCTTTCCTATCCCAAACTTCTGCTAGCTCATCCATATGTAAATTATATCACATGACGTCATTTTTTACTTCCTTATATGACGCCGTCTTACTTCCTTATATGACGTTGTTCACTTCCTTGTATGACGTTATTTACTTCCTTGTATGACGTCAGTTCTTGCTTCCGTAACCGACAGACAGACAGACACTTTTTCATTTTGGCTGAATTAGAGGACCTTCGCTGCGCTCCGGTCGAATATTCAAACTGCCTTACATTACGACAAAGCAGTACATCAAGTGTCAAACTGAGGTCATTACTAGGCATCGCGTAGGAGAAATTCCTGTGCGTCACTTAATTGGCAGACGTAGTGTCCGGAAAGTTGCGGATATACCGATGTCAACCTGATATACAACTTTTCTAACTGGTTTATTGCAGCTTTGCCTGACCTCGTTTCTTTTCGACAGGGTGTGCGTCCTATGGGAGTTGCTGCTTAGCAGTCCGCGTATGGCGGATCACATCAGCATCAACATGGAAATCTGTTGGGAGCCGCAGGTGGACAGCAACAACTGCTACAAACTTGCAGCGCTGCTCAGCCGCTCAGTTAACGCTACCACGAAAAGCCTCACCTTACTCAACGCCTCTCCCCCTGCACACGGGTCGTTAATAAGCGATTTGTTAGACCTGATTCAGATCAAACTGCCTTGGATAGCCTTCAAAGGCCAGAGCATCGCCAAATCCTGGAGCCTGGGGGGACAGAACGAACATCGGCTGAAGCACGGGGCTTTTCGGGATTTACGGTTACATCAAGACAACTGCGAATCCATGGCTGTGTACAACTGGAAAGTAGCCGGGTTGTTTGGCCTGGCAACGTACGAAGTGTTTTACGCTCCCTTTTCCGTCGACTCCGATTATGGCGTTTGTCGGCTGCCGGCGTCCGAGCAGAACTTGATGAAACACCTCACACACGAGTCACACGAACTGGCCATCGATAAACTGCAGAGCACTATTCCGCGGCTGCTTCTCAAATGCCGCGAAAGCGAAATGGGCATGACCAGCCGCTTCATGTGCTCCGTCAACCAAAACTTTCCGCCGGTCACGGAGGACATGCTAGCAAAGGTGGAGGCTGTGTATGCGCGTTGGGTGCGCAGCCTGGTGTATCCGGACGAATGGCAGACCATTCGACAGTACCTTTTAGTGTACGGGGCTTGACTAATGTTGCATTGCTGCCATGGCATGTCAGCTTGAATTGCCCGCGCTGTTCAGAGTTTTGGTTACGTAACTTCTCTCGTGCGTTGTAGATTCAGCGGCTTTTATGCCGACGGCAGTCCGCGAATGTGGGAGAATGTGGACTTACGGCGGGTGGATGCGAGGACGCTGGGCAAACTGGCCATCTACGCAATCAACGAAGTATTCGCTGTGTGATGCACAGACGACCTTGCATCGCGCTGTGCTAATACTAATTTATCGACGTGTTGAAAACTATTCAGGGGAGGCGTAATTTCGAATACCACCTTCGCGAGCAATGATTTTCCGATTCTCGTTTAATTGATTTTTTAAGAATACTCGTACTTAAAGTTTCTTCATATGTATAAGGCTACCAGCAAACACTGAAGCATGTTGTTAAATTGTAGCAAAGTGCCAAAGGACATGCAAAGTGCCAAAGTCTGTGTAGCCAGTTTTCACCTGTACGTTTATTTCTCAATATGTACAAGGCGAGCTTCGCTCAAATATGATCGTATGAAGAATTAATTAACATTGTCCCAATTAACAATTGAATTTGTCCCAATTAACATGGGAAGGGACTGTGCACAATACACTCATAGCATTTCCACGCATAATCTCCAAACTTAAACGTTGAAACAGAAAACAAGTGGAGCGGCTCTCTCCCGTCCTTAAAAACAACTTCTTACCAGTCATAACAATGCCGGTCCCACACCCAGTGCCAAAAGTCTCACATGCAAAGGGGACAAAATTACAGCGATCAGTAAGCGACTTGTATTTTCCAATCTTCTCCCGGCAAGCCAGTTCGGGGGCGGCGCCAGCACACTTTGAGGTCGCGTCGATGTATGAATCCGCCATCGTGCAAGTGACGTTGGTAACGGCCGCAGACAGCCGTTAGTAACGGCTGTCTGCGGTACCACTTCCATCGCGTGGCTCCGTCCGGGCGTTTCCGTTTTCACGCAAAAAGCCAATAAGCTCCGGATATGACTCAATGCCGGCATTACATAGCGCTCGCAATATAATACTATCGTTAATGCCGTTATGGCGTTCCTTTCTCCCGATGCATTCCTTGCACGCTAGCCAATAGTATCCGTTTTCTGCAACCTCTTTACCACATCTCGTACACGAGAGCTGCTCTAGTTTTAACTTACTTGTTTCACAGCAAATGCTTTAGCAATTAAGTAGTCGTTGATTGCTTATTGAGCAGCCAAGCCCGTAAACGGGCACTCCCGGATATCCTTATTCACGAACGTCGAATATGCTAATCAAGTCACCACACTCCGTTTGGACACCAGTAACACGTACACTTCAGATGCAACACGTCACGAATTGTCGTAGCTTAAACGGGCTGAAGCGCGTCATGCACAACTCTCAAGGTATAAAGCCACAGAACAACAAGATCAGTATGTATCACTCTAACAATAAATCGTATTCGTATCAAAGAGTCAGGTTACGGACCGCTTCGTACGTCCACTGGGTCCCGCACACCGCAACCGTAGAATCGCATCCAAAGTGGTGAGTTGGTCCAAGTAGGCTCCGCATCAACCACAGCCATCGAAGAAACGTATACGCCACTCCGTACGGCCTGCGCCGGTGGTGACTAACTTCTGGATTCTCCTACGCATTTCTAAAGAAAATAAATAACTCACCGGCAACACAAATTTTCTCCGCACCGGTTTACTTGAAAATTACTGTACAGCTAAATTGGCAGAAATATTAAAGAGACGAATAATTCCCGCATAAGGTGCGCAAACTTAAAAAATCCAGTAAAACAATCATTGAATAAAATAATCTAGTAAAACAATCACTGTCTGCAATGCAACTGCGGATTTCCGGCCCGCCGTCATTTGTCACCACGTTCATGACAACAAACTCTTCAAAATTAACGAGTAAAATCCTAAAGAAGAGGCCGATTTTCGATTATTTACGCAGCTTATCGAAGGAATCCAGCCAGGAAGTACTTACCGATCGCTGCGTTCACGCCTCCCACACGTTTTGAATAAAATAAAATAGATTTTGAGATATATTCCAAATAATTATAAAATCCCAGCGAGGCCAGCCACGAAAATATTTTAAACATGTAGAAATGCGGACAGCTTTCAAGCTATCCAGTTAAATTCAATTATTCAACCAGTTTTATAAAAGTTGTGAAACCTCAGTAATTTTTTGTTTGTTTGTCTTTTTCACGTTTTTAATGTAACTTTATATTGCCGAGCTAGCCAGCTCTTCAACTGAAAACTTGAGTTTTTTGGTACGACAGATAGTATTTAAACGGTGAAAAAATGGATGGAGTCGGATTATTTATAAATTACACAGTGCCCATAAAAAAAACCATTCAGCAGAAACTTATGGAAACAATTAACAGTTGCTCTAGGTGACCTCGCAAACTGCATCTTTCTACTTATTGCAAGATTTTCAGCCATTCATTCAAGCTCTTCAGTATTTATTTAAATAGAACAAATACATATATTTATTAAATTTAGAGGTTATTGAATACCCAAGCTACCATCAGTATTACAGAGGACCGTAGGTTAGTGAATACCGAAGCTAGCACCAGTATCACAGAGCCGCCACGTCTATCGGTCGCGCTATCGGTATATGTATAATAGACACTTTAAAACCGCGAGATATTGAGGTATTCATATTTCTAGGTACAGAGTATTTTTATAATTTCGAAACTCTGGAGGCTCAGAAATTAGAGATAACGGCCCCGCTGCGCGGGGCCGAGTCGAAAGATTTGGAAATGTTTAGAAATTCTGGAAATGTAAATTTAGAAATTATTTTTTATAAATATTTAGAAATTCGGGTAATCTAAAAGCTTTGGAGCCGACTTTGGAAAATTGTTTAGTTATTTTGAGGGATTTCGAATGGATTTAAAAACATCCTAAAGGTTTCAAGCATTCGAAAAAATAAAATTATGAGTTTGATGTAATTGACAATAATTTTTGAATAACTATTCTTTAGGTTGCAAGTTACTTGTGTTTGCTCTCTCAAGACGTTTCTCGTTTTTTTATTCAAACTATCTACTATTGATACGAGTAGCTAAGAAAATTTAAGTACTACAACTTACAACTTTAGTATAGGTCCTACTACACTGCTACATTTAAGTAGTACTATCTTTAATTACTAACAACCTTTAAGTACTACAACTTCTTAAAAAATTTGTTAGACCTTCTCCAAAACTTAAGATTTTTTAAAGATAAAGGTAGGAACGTTTCTGCGAAGCTCTACTTTATAAAAATAACATCGGAAAAATCAATGTTGATTTAAGAGATAATTTCCAAAAAATAAGGACGTAAGGATATATGAATCTATTGATATAGGATTGCAAGAGTTGGTCGCGCTAGCGCGCGCCCAGTTGAATTTTAGGTACGAGTATGGAATTATGGTTTACAAAATTAGGAATGTGAAATACAGTTGTATGGAGCTTATTTAGTGGAAATATTTTCTTTAATAATATTTGAAAACGTAGAAATGTTAAATTGCAGAGGTATTGGCCCACTGGGCGTGGCCGGCTTTTGAAACTGAAATGTCCGAAATTTTAGGAAGTTGAAGAATTTTAAAAAGGTTTAGGAGATTTTAGGAAACGTGGATAAGGCCGGGAAGGACAAAGGGCGCTTCGTCTCAATGCACTGCAGCAGATCAGTGAAATCGAGGTTATTCAGCACGGTCTCAGCGCCAGGGTGCTCCACCTTTTCCATCCCTTTCAGCATCTTCTCCAGCTTCTCCAAGCGCGAGTACGCCGAGTTGTCTACACAGAAATGAAACGCAGTGATGTTAGCGTCATTGCAACGTAAAACGGGCTCGGTAAAACACGGAGAACACAGCTTTTTTACGGAAAGCAGTAGCGAGAAACTTGCGCTTGCAAAGGAAATATTGTAGCGGGAAAAATCGAGAGCTGATTAACCCGTTGACGGGCACTGGTGTCTGGAGGTGACAAGGTGTTTGGGATTTTGTTCCCAGCGATCGGTAATAAGTATTCGATATCCCTTAATGTGATAAACATCAAGAGACTGGCACCTGCGGTCACACCCAAGAAAATGGTGAGCGCGGACAATGCTGGCAGTAGAAAAACTCCAGTACTGTAATGTTAAACTTCCGAAATAATGCTTCGTGCATTCTCAACTGAGAGCATAACGAAAGTTTTGGAAAGCGACATCGTTTGCAGCGTCCATTTTCAGTAATCCATCTGCAGTACTCGTAGTGGTCAAAATAAATGGAAACGCGATTTGGCAGTTTTTAATTTTTTGCTGACCGGTGGTTAATTTATTGTCCACTTTTGTACTCCTGTTCTGAAGTACTTTTTTGTGCTATTTATTGAAGTAACTAGTAGTCCCCGCGCAAATTGCGCGGAATAATTAATGCGATAGACAAATCGTAACCCAGTGCAAAAATCAAAACTCCTGACTGTATGTAGGTTGTATTATGGGTACTGGGTAGTATAGATTTTATGGACGAAGCGTAAAATTCTCTGATATACCGTATACGGTATCCCAAAGCCCACAGTTGACGATAATATCAACTGAAAAATAATTAATCAGCTGCGTAATCAACTGTAGCCGCAAAGCCGGTTTATGTCTGAAACGGCTGAAATCAAGAACCACGTGTGCGCCCACACACGGTAAAGATGCAGTAGGGAAAGTGGTATAATTTTCTAAAGCGAAGGGAAAGAGTTGCCGCTTGCCTCGTACTATTTTTTACAACGGGGTAAGTATTATCATTGTAACAGAGAAGTGTGAGGACTCACAGATGTCTTTATTGACAAATAAAGGCTGACAATACTGCGTAATAGCAGGAAGAAAGAACAATGCCAATGTCTGGCTAATCAAGCAAGTGGTCGCTAAAAGGGTTCTTGAGCGTCTGCCAAGGCGTCAAAGAATGCTGGCGGCAAGCACGTGTGTGATGCGGTCCAGACATATCAGCTGTGTGATGCGCAGACTGGACTCTATCCAACGCGAGCGTATGAACGCTGATTAGTGCTGCGAGAAAGGGACGAGAGAGCAGTGCTACTCAGCGTATGCGCTGCTTATATCCGCTTCAGCGGATGAGTGAGTGCAGTGCAGCAGCACACGTACGTACAGAGAGAGAGGCGATGCGGCATGCAAGTGAGTGCAAGTACGCCCTGTGTGGGCGGGGCACCACGCGCAGGCTCATACGCCTGATATGCCTCTGGTCGGGAATCCGAGCTCAAGCGAAGGATGCTCCGACTCGATACCGCACCAGTATCGCACAACTCTCCGGTTGGACCCATGTGGGGTCGCCGGTAACGGTCCTCATGCAGCGGGAGTCCGGTGTCTGGTTGACCGTCCCATAGTTCACTTCCGAACCCGTGAGAGGCAAGCAGCTCACGGCCGGGAAGTCCGGAAGTCGCTCGGGCGTTTCGTTGGACCGGTGATGCATCTGTTGGCTGGCTTCTTGCTTCTGTTGGCAGTCATGCGACCTGTGTGGTCGTCAAGTACAGCAATTCCGTTCAAAATTCATCGGTTAAAACCGTTCAATCTGCTACTACGAGCCTGGTT